ATTCACTAGCAACAACCTACCAGATTGCGGGAGGAGGGGTGCGCAGCCACTGACCGCAGCCAGAGTCCAAGGGGCCGTGCCCCCAGCAGGCACTCCCTTGAGTTGCTAGTAGAAGTCGGGTGGGAGGGAGTGGCTAGGAGTCCCAGCCCCCGCCCGCCCCCCGGCTTTTGCACACAACCACAGGCTCCTAGCACCTATCGTGGCCCTGCCTCCCAGTCACTCCGCCGCCCACGCCAGGCTTCCGTCCGGCGCCCAGCTGGGAATTCAGAAAATACCAGACATTGCACATGTCCGGTATTTTCTGAATTTTTCTACCTGACGGAAAGTGCAAATATCGGACTGTCTGGTAGAAAACCGGACACCTGGCAACCCTATTTGTCATCTGTTTGGGTTTGTTTCTTTAACACTAGCTTCTACAGGATATAGCTTAAATGGGCACAATATGACATCTGCCCTACAGGATCATTGCAAGCCCTAGTTAATATCTGCTAAATGCCTGGAAAACCGCAGACAGTGAGAAGCAAGGGGAGCCCCGTTTGCCCCGTTCTCTGAAAGAGCTGACTAGAAACGGTGCTTTGGCTGGAATGATGGGTTTGTTAGTTTTTCAGAACTATCTTGTCAATGCCAATACATTGCCACAGCACTAGTGGGCATAGCTTGTCATCCACCTACATTTCCTCTGTCCCCTGCAAACTCCTTCTCTCCCTAGTCCCAAAGGGTTACTTCTCCTGCTATTCCCTCACATCCCATTTTTGAAACAAAGAGCCATTTTCGCCCGCACTCTTTGTGCTGTGCCAGAGAAAAGATGCTTTCTGGTGTAATCAGCCACTGAAGAAAGGAGTCTACTAGAATTCTGCTTCAAAGTCTTTACAGCATTTCTTGAGTATTTTCTACTCAAATTTGGGAGCTTACATTATCCTGCACCTCCATTCTTAGATGCAGAGGAGATGGAGAAAAGCTTTCAGAAGGGCCCCTCTATATCTCAGTTGTATCCTAGACGGAGTCTTCTGCTGATTACTAGAGGCAGATCGTGAACTTCCATCCTGCTACAGAGAGTTCTTCTCAGGTTTATACCCCTTTCTGCAGCTCTTCTGATAGGATTTCTGTGCGGAGGTCCTAGAGCTTTGGGAAGGATGAGGGATAGCTCTACCTGAGAACTTGCAACATCACAAACAGGCCTTAAAGAAACCGTATTCTTCAATAGGAGTCTGGAATAAACCTGGGGCAAGTTAAGTAAAGGCATTTGCTGTGCATGCCCAGCACACACCTCCCCTCATCCTTTAAATGATGGAAATATCTGAAAGCAAAACTCCTTGCAGGGCCGGCCCGAGCCATTCACGCGCCTCGGGCCCTGGGAGCACAGTGCCGCCCCCGGGAGTGTGACGCATACGCAGCCCCGCCCCTGGGCACCTGGCACCCCCGTTCCCAGGTGCCTGGCGCATGCATGGCCCCGCCCGGCCCACGCGGCACCCCCTACAATGGGGCGCCCCAGGAGGTAGCCCGGCTGGCCTGTACCTTGGGCTAGCTCTGACTCCTTGCATCAAACAATAGCAAGCTGGCATTGTGATTGTTCTTTTGGCACTCACTCATCTCTAGCAGTAAGGCATTTGTACTGCCCTAGGCACTCATGGATAGGCCTCAATGATCTAAGACAGGTGTGAAACTAAGGCCCAGGGGCCACATCCGGCCCCTGAGCCTCAGGGCTCCCCTCCCAACATTGGGGAGCCCACACTGGTGCTCCAGCCCCCTTGCATCCCTCTGAGGGGCTGGAGCACACGAACTCTACTATCCTGGGGCCACCAGGCTCTGATATGCAAGGAAATTTTTTTTTCCTGGTGCGTGAGAGGAATATGGGGGATGTCTCCCCTTAGTCCGGAACCACAACAGCTTTGACTCTTGCTAATTTCTTGGCCCCAGTGAGAACTTATGGCAGTGAGTTCCCCTGTCTAGTTACTGAGTGGGAAAGGGTTTCCTTCCATCAGTTTTGAATGTGCGGCTTTTCTTTGAACGTGCCCTTGCTCTGGTTGTGAGACCGAGAGAACAGACTCTCCACTCTGCCTTCTCTAGACCTTGTATTACTTTCATCAGGTCACCTTCACCTCCCTCCTGTCCAGTGATCTTGTTCTTCAGCTTTACCTGCCTTTTTATTGTTCTATGTCGGGGTGGGTAACTTAAGGGCTGGGGGAGGGGGGGAGCTGGATCCAGCCTCCAAGGCTCAGGCCCTCCTCTCCCCAGCACTAGGGAGCCTGCACTAGCACTCCAGCGTCTCACTTGTGTGTGCCCCCCCAACTGATTTTTCTGTGGGTCAGCAGCCCTCAATCCAAAAAATGTTCCCCATTCCTGTGTTCTGGGAGGTCTGCAAGCTAGTGGCATTGAAACTGAGGGAGAGGCATAAAAGGGGGGGGAGCAACATGCATGTAAGCTGAGCATTCCCAATGAAAGACACTGGTCTCAAACTCTCGCTGCAGGGCTTCCTAAGCCATCCTTAACCTTCTTTCCCACTTCAGGGACTCTCAAAGATTTTTCCCATTCTCCTGTGTCTTCCCACACTCACTGGAGTAGCATAGTTACTGGAAGTGAAAAACAGCTGACTTTCCACCCCCCAAAAAATGACTTGTGTCAACAATATGCAAGTAACTCTTCCGCCGAGCATCAAAGCATGCACTCAGTATTATTGTTAATGCACATTGGTTCCTACTCTCACACAATGAATAGAGTGTGGCCCCATCTCTTGACTAAGCTGCGCTTTCTGTTCCACACACGCACAGAGAATACATCCCTACTATGCTCTGATGCGGCTGGGAACATATTTTCAAAACAACTCTTAACCCATGGCAGGAGATTAATGAAGAGGCTGCCGTAACATTTCTATTTGCATGGAACCGTGCAGGGTGTAGCTGAAAAGTCAATACTGAATTTGATACCACTGCAACAATGTTAAAAGCATGTTGACATCTCCAGCACCACTTTAAAAAAAGATGTTTGTGGCCTCAATAAAACATTGCTAGAAGGACCATAAATTCCCATTGCACTCAGTACATATTACAGAATTAGCTACTGGGCTGGCATATTCAGAAAATACTCGGTGGCAAAATTCTCATTGACTGCAGCAAGGAGAGGTTTGCTCAGAAGAACGTATGGGCCTTTTCAATTAATGATAGAGCATTTTTTCCCATCTTTGTACTTGTGAAAGGCATGCCCAGTCACTTAAACCTAATTTAAAATTGGCAAGATCACCACAGCACTGGCGCATTTACTCTTCTAATAAAAATCTTACTGCTGTCGCAGTAACGGGCATCAATGAAATCAGAAGTCAGGCAGCAACCTGTACATGTAGCATGAAATTCCTTGTTACCTCACTGAAACATCCAGAGGGGGCCCTGTGAATAGGGCAGATGCTACTTCTATTCTGCAGCACACTCATTTGTAAGTTTTCCTTGCAGAGGAACCGTCAGCTCCTTTTGTCAGAGACAGAAGTCTTGCAGGGTCTGACCCTAAATGCCTGCTAGATCAGAGCATCCCCCCCGTTCTTGGCCAGAGTGGTTGAAACCGACCAAATTATGTGTAGGTTGCCCGTGGCATTCAGCCTTTCATATTAGATGTCCTGGCTACTAAACCATACAGAAAGCAGCAACTGATTAGCCTACAGACAGCGAGGGGAGATAGAGGGCACGTTTTTGCCAGAGGCTTGGTCTAGGACAGCTCTGCTAGGGGGAGCACTCAAGTGTAGGCAGGTGTGTGTGAAAAAGCCAACTCAAGTGGGTAGCTATGGTGATGGAAGAGGGCTTCAAACCCACCTAGCTTATGGACAGGTCGCAGACGTGTCTCCATCCAAAGCTCCCCAGGGGGCCTGAGTGCGTGTAGCTGCAGGTTGATCAACACCAGCGGAGATGGCTCGCCCTGCATTGCTCTTCCTGCACAGGGGCAGGCAGCAGGTGTGCGCAGGGCTACAGAGCCTGGAAAACCAGGCCACCCCAAGGGCCAGACGGATTCTGAGCTTCTGCTAGGCCAACACCAAGCCCTAGTGCCCGGCTGGGTCCAGGGCTTTGGCCCCACCGAAGCAGCTTTCCCCAGCAAGTGCCCAGGGCTGGCTGCATCTCTCCCACACAGGAGCCTTTCCCGCCCCTCTCTTGGGACACCGACTTGAAATCTCTTCCCACATCACCTGGAACAGCTCAGACCGGCTCCCCCCCGCCCCGCCCCCCGGGGGGGGGGTGGGGGGGGGGG